CCCCCCACACACACACACACCCAGCGACCACCCCCTGCAAGCCCTGCCCCAATGGCTGCACCACATGCGACGCCAATGGCTGCATCCTGTGCCCCCTGAACAACCCAGTCGCCACGCCCGGGCCCTCGTACGGGAAGAACCTCTGCGTCAGCAGCTGCCCGGCCAATCACACCAAGCGCGCCGGGGTGTGCTACCCCACCGGGCTGGCCCTGCCGGCGGTCAGGGTGGCCCAGGTCCTGCAGTCGGGCTACCCCTTCCCGGATGTGGCCAGCTACCTGGGCCCGACGCACCTGGTGGCCAGCGTGCCGACCGTGACCAGCCTCTCGCCGGAGGTGCTGGCCAATGGGGACGCCCCGCGGGTGGGCCTGCTGGGCTTCACCTTCGACGGGCGGAAGTTCCTGATGCGCGGCACGGACGCCGCCCTGCCCGGCGGCCCGAACCCCCTGTACATCTCCCTCTTCGGCCAGTCGGACATGAGCGGCGTCCGGGGGTTCGTCGAGATCGGCCCCTTCCTGGAGGGCACGCAGCTGGTCCTGGGGCTGGGCTTCTGCCAGGGGGCCCTGCCGTGGGTGGTGTGGGTGTCCTGCCCGGCCAGCACCGGGTCCCCGTGCGTGGCCGCGGCCAAGGAGTACATCCCGGGCTTCGGCCATGGCTGCCTCGGGGTCCACCGGCTGGGCCCGCGGGAGTTCCTCTACCGCAATGGCCAGGACGCCACGCCGCGGGTCATGCTGGCCACCTACAAGTCCCCCAAGTCGCTGGACGTCCGGACGATGCACGGCTCGCATGGGGTCCTGCTGCCGGAGAGCCCGGCCTCCGGGCCCGGCCCCAGCAGCCCGGCCCTGTCCAAGTGGCTGCTCACCCAGCACCCCGGCGGCACGGGCATGACCCAGCCGCTGGCCCTGGCCCCGGGCGACCCGCGGCTGGACTTCTTCCACGGGTGGGGGCTCATGCGGGCCGGCCCGGCCGGCGGCCTGGTCCAGGTGTCGGCCCCGTGGACCGGCGGCCCGGCCGCCAACCGCGACGTCGTCCTGACCGGCATCCTGCCCGACGGCCAGTGGGCCGTGGAGGTCCTCCCCCGGGGCGGCGGCGGCATGCTGACCGAGGCCCGGTCCATCCTGCTGAACCCGGTGGAGCACCGGCTCGGGGCCCCGGCCGGGCGGACCCTCGCCCCCGGCAGGACCTTCTTCGTGGCGGTGGACCTGCCCACCGGGCCGGAATACCCGGCGGCCCTGGTCCTCCTGTCGGAGGACATCGTCGGCCTGTCGCTGCTCCGGTGCCTGCCGGCCCCGAACAGCCTGTGCGCCTTCCTGCCGGCCACCTTCACCACCATCACCCAGCCGCTGGTGGGGGACATCTTCACCGGGACCATGGTCTGGACCGGCCAGCCGCACGCCCACACCGACTTCATCAGCATGGTGGTCATCAATGCCTCGGGCCGGGTCCAGCGCCTGGTCTTCCGGCCGGACTGCCCGGCCAGCACCCACGGCCTGCTGTGCCAGCCCTGCCACGCGGCCTGCCTCGGCGCCTGCACCGGGCCCGGCGACCACCAGTGCACCGCCTGCAAGTTCCACCTGCCCAATTCCCCGGCCGCCTGCCTGGCCGCCTGCCCGGCCGGCACCTTCGCCGGGGGGGCCAGCGGCCCGTGCGCCGCCTGCCCGGCCGGCTGCACCGCCTGCACCGGGGCCGCCGCCTGCACGGCCTGCTCGGCCGGGC